ATTTAACTTTGAGACTACTGAGATAGCCTCTGCCTGTCTCTGATCCCTTCCATTTTAAGTTCAGTCTCTATTATGCCACTGGAGAAACCAAACTAGGATACTCTGCAATGAGTGAAAGCATAATAATTAGGCTAGTACAACAGGCATTAACTGAAGTGGTCCCTAAATGCTGGACAGACGGAACCTTTCCTTGTCAGGCCCTTGAAACAAGTTGATCCCTGCTTATGTCTTCAGCCACATTTCTTATCCTTCTTAATTTGCACTCCATTCATATAGAATAATCTGTATTTTTCTAAATGCATTATCTCCTCTGCTTGCCTTCCAGCCTCCTCACATGCAGTATACTATGTCTCCAACACTATTCCTCCCTCTCCTTCGCCTGCCTAAATTCTTTTTGTTCATCGAGCTCTCAGGTTACATATTCCTTCCTACAGGAACCCTGACCTGACTTTTGGAAGACTGGTTTGTATGTTCTTAGTAGGGATTCCTATAACATTTCATATGCATCCCTTTGTTGGGGCGCCTCCAAAATACTACAACTGTCTGTTGTTTATGTGTGTTTCTAATTATATTGTACACTCTTTGAAGGAAAGACCAAGTTTATTCACATTTATATTACTCGCACCTAAAAAGTGCCTTATCCATGGTAACTATAAATAATCTTTGAAGAAATAAATAAATATGTCTATATACTATCACCCTCTGTGGGCTTCAAGATCCATGAAGACACAAAACTGTTCTTCACTCTTGGGGCCCCAGCATTGAACACATTAAATGTTGATGTTTAGTTGGATGCACTCCTTTGTAAAGGTGGTACTCATTTATAAAATGCTTATTTAGCAAAAGGACCTGGTAGCATAAAAAGTAGCTGGAGGAAAAAGATACAGAAAAAATTACACAAATGAAAAGAGATACGATAAAATGAAAATGAGGAATGATGAGTGCATCAAGTGTAATAATGAGGAAAAATTACACAAATGAAAAGAGATAGGATAAAATGAAAATGAGGAATGATGAGTACACTGATCAAGTGCAATAAATACTATTCAGTTGGCCTTTCCAAGGTTCACATGTATGTACATGGAAAGAAAAGAGCTCTTTTTTCTTCAATCTTTAACAAAAGAAAAGTCCTTCACATTTTTGTGTTTTTTCCCCCATGAAGTCACGTTAACCACAGGCTGAAATTTTGGTATAAGGCATTAGAAGCACAAATCACTCTTTGGTTCTATCAATTCTATCCCTAAAAAAATCTGGGAGGCTTGAATTTTAGGATAAAGACCTAGTACTCATTTTCTACCTGTGAGAGTTGGTAAGGTCCCTGTCTCAGGTCATCGTGACTGTAAAGGCTATTCAAAGTTTTTAAAAAACAAACAGAAGTTACTTCTCAAGAACATGTTTTTTCATCTATAAACTCATAAAAGAATGTTATTTCAAAATTTTCTTTATTTAACCAAGGACACATAGAATATTAAAGGTATTATTTTCTTTGTTTAATGTGTATGGAATTAATATGAACAAGCTAAGGGCGTGCCCAGCTAGCTTAGTTAGAAAGCATGAGACTCTTACAATGAACAAGCTATGAACCTGAAAATGTGCATTTGCAAAATGTTGTGCATTGAAACTAATGCTGTTCATAGATCCAAGTTAAAAATTACTTTGCTAAAGAAATGCTCTATCATCACATTTGTTGTTTCTTTTAACCACTGCCGTTTAATGAGCTCTCTACATCTCATAAAAAAAAAGTTTATCTTTAAAGGACACATGGACAAAGCCAAAGAGGGCAGGGATGGCTGGAGTGGAGGGAGGGGGGAAACGGTGACAACTGTACTTGAACAACAACAAAAATTAAAATAAAAAAGTTTATCTTGTCCTGGCTGCTGTAGCTCAGTGGATTAAGCATGGGCCTGTGAAGCAACCGGTCGATCATTGGTTCAATTCCCAGTCAGGGCACATGCCTGGGTTGTGGGCTAGATCCCCAGTAGGGGGTGTGCAAGAGGCAACCACACATTGATGTTTCTCTCCCTCTCTTTCTCCTTTCCTTCCCCCTCTCTAAAAATAAATAAATTTTAAAAAAAAGTTTATCTTATATATTTATCATACCCATTTAATACTTCAGGTATTCCCTTTTATTAACTGCCCAAATCTTTCAAAATCAAATTTCTCAACAATATTTTAATTCTTAACATACTTTAGAATCTTTCTAATATTTTTAATAGTCTAAGCCTTTTTCACTTCCTCCAGGTATTTCTGTCATTGCTGACTGGCTTGGAGAGCCCTCTACTGGCCTGATACTGTGTCAAAGAACATTTTCTTCAGCTTTTGGATACACTTTAAATTTTACATGCATTTGGTAATACAATAATAATGGTATAATTCAAGCAAAATATTCAGAATAATAGAATTACAAGGGAAACTGAATGGTTCTATTAAAATACTGCTATCAGAAATAAACCCTCACACAGATGGTCAAATGATTTTATACAAGGTGCCCAGACCAGTCAATGGGAAAGAGACAGTCTTTTCAACAAATGGTTCTGAGAAAACTGGATTATCCACATGCAAAATAATGGAGTTGGACCCTTATCTAACATAATATATAAAAATTAACTCAAAGTGTGTCAAAGATATAAATGTGAGGCCTAAAACTGTAAAACTCTTGAAGAAAATATGGCAAAACTTCATGACACTAGATTTAGCAATAATTTCTTGACTATGACACCAAAGGCACAGGCAAAAAAAATAGACAAATTAGACTTTATAAAAATAAAAATATTTTGTACATGAAAATACACTATCAACAACATAAAAATGCAACTCAGAATGGCAAAAATTTGCAAATCACATCTGATAAAGGATTAATATCCAGAATACATAGAGAACTTCTAAAACTTAACAAAAAAAATATTTAAAAATGGGCAGAGGTCTTGAATAGACATTTCTCCAAAGATGACACAGGCACACCTCATTTTACTGTGCTTCTGAGTATTGAACTTGGCTGCTACTGCATTTTTTACAAATGAAGGTTTGTGGTAACCTTGCATGGATGTTTAGCATTTTTTAGCAATAATTTTTTAATTAAGGTATGTGCATTGTTTTTGCAGACATAATGATATTGCACACTTAACAGACTACAGTATGGTATAAATATAACTTTTACATTAACTAGGAAACCAAAAAATCATCATGTAACTGGCTTGATTGCAGTATTCACTTTATTGTGGTGGTCTGAAACTAAACTTGCAGCATCTCCAAGGTATGCCTGTATAAAATTGACCGATAAACACATGAAAAGATACTCAATATCACTATCATTAGGGAAATGAAAATCAAAAGCACAATCAGGTATTACTTTGCTTCTGTTAGGACAGCTATTATCAAAAAAGTAGAAAATAACAAGTCTTGGCAACAATGTGAAGAAAATGAACTTTTGTACACTGATACAGGCACTGTACAATGATACAGGCACTGTGGAAAACATTATGGCATTTCCTCAAAAAATTAAAAATAGAATTACCATATGATCTATCAATTATTCTCATCTGGCTACATACTCAAAAGAACTGGAAACAGGATCTCAGAGATATTTATACAGCCATGGTCAAATAAATAATATAAAATATGTTCATAGCAACATTATTTACTGTAGCTAAAATATGGAAGCAAACCAAGTATCCATTGTCATGAATGGATAAGCAAAATGTGGTATATGTACAGTAGAATATTACTCAGCCTTAAAGAAAATTCTGATACATGCTTAAATATGAATAAACTGTGAGGACATTACGCTAAGTGAAATAAGCCAGTCACAAAAACAAAAACACAAACAAATACTGTATGATTCCACTAACCATGAGATACTTAGAAGCAGAAAGGAGACAGTGATTGTCAGGGATTGGGGGGAAGAATAAAAAGGTATTGCTTAGCGGGTACAGTTTCAGTTTTTATAAGATGAAAAGTGCTCAAGAGATAGATGATGGTGCACAGTATAATAAATGTATTTAACATCACTGAACTGTACATTTAAAATGGTTAAAATGAAAGGTGGTAAGTTTTATATGTATTTTAACACAAAAAATGAAAAAAAAAAAAAACACACACAGAGATAACTCCTCCACTCACTGACTTTATATAAACCTATTAGAAGGGCAAAAATCTCAAAGTCTGAGAACACTCTGTTAACACAGCTATGAGTTGGGAGCAGGGGAAGTCTTATATACTGTTGATAAGAGCTAAAAATTAGAATAAGCTGTCTGAATAGAAATTTGACAATATCAATAAAAATGACCAATTCATGCAACACCTAGATATTCCACTTCTTAGAATCTAACTTACAAAAAAACTTGCAAATGCACAGAACAATGTTTATAAATGATTATTCTCCGTAACACTAGTTATAATATCCCCAAACTAGAAACTATCCAAATTTTGATGAGTAGGAACAGGCTGAATAAATTACTCTATCTCCATAAAATGAGAAATCAACTAGTTGTGAAAGGGGGGGGGGGAGGATGCTGTGTATGTAATGATATGGAAATAATTACTTTTTTTAATATAGGATAAAGGGAAAAAAGCAAGATGCCAAATAATGTATGTATTTTGATACTTTCTGTTAAAATACATTTATAAAATGTACTTTATAACATAAATACATTTTATATGTATTTAAAATAGTTTTATACATTTATAAAATGTAGCTATGATCAAATGTATTTATGCATTTATAAAAATGTATAAATGTGGGGATAAAATATATTTATATCTGCTAGTGATATACAATGGACTCTGGACGGACACACTAGAAATTGGTAACAGTAGTTCCTGTGTATACGGGGGGCTGTGGAGAGATGGAAGACAATACCTGGATATCTTTTACTACATATATAAATATAAACCATGTGATAAGGTTATTAATTCAAAAAATGCCCTAATCTTAGAAGCTAAGTATAAAATCAACACATCCTTTATTAGTACAACAATGATAAAATCCGCTATAATCTTACCTGCAAATTAGACATATAAGAATCCCCACAATTTACATAGTGTCCTAAAATGGCATGTTGTGCCCGTAATTCATTATCCCTTATTCGCTCGTGTAAGTGGGTAATTTGTTGCTTCTGCCTGCAAAATATAAATTGAAGTCACATAATAAAAAAGTATTACCAATCTTAAAAGTATAATATGAAACAGCAACTTGAATGACTTTGGATTATTTCCTTGATGTCCTAGAATATATAGAACTAAAGGATATATTTGACAGTTATGACAATGACTCTACATTCCTACTGCCATAGAATGAATATTGGTGTCTCCCCCCAAAATTCACATATTAAATCCTAATGCCCAATGTGATGGTATAAGGAGGGGGGCCTTTGAGAGGAGGGGGGCCTTAGGTCATAAGGGCAGAAGCGTCAAGAATGCAATTGTTATGCTTATAAAAGAGGCCCCAGAGAGCTCGGTGGCCCTTTTCACGATGTAAGGTCACAGGGAGAAGATGGCCATCAATGAACCAGGAAGTTGGCTCTCACCAGACACTGAATCTGCCAGTGACTTAATTTTGGACTTCCCAGCCTCCATAACTGAGAGAAATAAAATTCTGTTCTTTATAAGCTACCTAGTCTATGGTATTTTGTTATAGCAGCCCAAATGGACTAAGACACCCTATTAACTCATACCCCTCAAAATAGTAATAATAATGGTGTTCAAAAAAATGATATAAGTCAACTGATTCTGATTGTTTGAAGAGTATATCCTATTAATAAAAGTCTGAATTTTGATCTGCCTTTAAAATGTTCAGTAGAGGGAACAGAGTCAATGATACTGTAATAACTATGTATGGTGCCCAGTGGGTACCAGACTGATGGGAGTGATCACTTTGAAAAATATATAAATGTCTAATCACTATGTTGTATGCCTGAGATTAATATAATATTGTATTGTCAACTATAACTGAAAAATAAATTTTAATAAAAAGTATGCATAAATGACAAAGAATCAATATGCATTACAGATAGTATAATTAAGTAATATTAGGCTTGTTGTTCAAAATAATCATAAAACTGTTAAGTGTAGTACAATTATTTTTCAGAGCTTTGGTACTCAAACCATGTAAAATTTTTGGAATGTGTCCACAAATACACAAAATTCTTATCTGTAAATCATTTAATTTCAAACATTCATGATTTTCATAGTTTCTGTGCTTTCATATCTAACATAGATTAGTTAAAAATTACTTTAAAGTAGCTTTCCAATTTGATATTTCCTAATTGTAAGAAGATGAAGAGAAGTTTCTGAATAATGAATTACTCCAATGTAAATGGGAGGAGGCAGAGGACAGACAGACCCACCAACCAGTGTCGTAAGAACCGATCGTGTCATCGGTTCTGAAAGGGACCAGGGCTGGAGAAGGACAGACATGAGAAATCAATGCATTTGTAAGGTTCTATTTTTTAAACTCTACATGGTGGATACAAAAGTATGTTTTAAAATCTACATTTCTGTATGCCTGAAGTATTCAGTAATTTAAAAAACATATAGACTCACCGATCAATTACAATTTCTTTCTGCCTTAGCAGTCCTTCTTTTATTTTCAGCACTGATTCCCACTTTGTGAAATCCTGATAGCCAGAAGGTGAGTAACTCTGACGAGATGATCCAGTCAAAACCTGCACAAACATGCTTAACTCTTAGTATTCTGATAGTGTCTGAAGGAAATATTTATATACCATCTAATATTTTCCCAATGATTTTCATTTTAAAAAGAGAACTCTGCCTTTCATTTTTTAAGACTATCTGAAATCACACTTGTGAATACAACATAACTTGAAAAACTCAAGGAAGTTACAACATAAACATACAAATTTAATTAAGAGTCTAATCATTTCTGAAAGGAGTACAATAAAAGAATGTACAATGTCTAGAAGACAAACATTACCTAAAGGGTTTCCAAAAGGAAATAAAAACAGTATCTGTAAGCATTCAGGTTTCAAACTGTCATTCATCACAATATCATTTAATTACATTAAAATTTCAAGAGTTAAAATGTTTGCATAAAATAGTAAATATATCCATAAAAATATGCTAGTAAGCAGATAAGCCAGATGACTATTAGTCTCTAGTGTAAATAGTATCATTTTAAAAAAATACTCTGAGAACTTAAAATTTTTTGATATATTTAATAAAAATCAACAATAAACAGCTATCTTCAAACTTCTATCATTGAAACAAAAATGTAATACTGGTGTTAACAGGTTGAACTGTGTCCCCTCAACAGATATTTTGAAGTCCTAACCCCAGTATCTCAGAATGTGAACTTATCTGGAAATAGGGTCTTTGTATATATAGTCAATTTAACATGAAGCCTTAGGGTGGGCCCTAATCCCATATGACTAATGCACCATGAAAAGGGAAACTTGGAACAAGGACACAGACTGAGGGGAGAGACATTTCATCACACGAAGGTGAAGGCAGAGACTGGAGTGATGCATGTAAAACCAAGGAAAACAAAAGACTGCCAGAAAAGCACTAGAGTCTTGACCTGGAACCAACTCTGCTGACACCATGATTTTGGACCTCAAAGCTCCAGAACTGTGAGACAATAAATTCCTGTTGTTTAAGTTACCTGGTTTGTGTTTTTTGTTATGGTAACTCCAGGAAACTAATACATTGGTAAATCAAGTAGGAACATAAATTCCTTGACAAGTTAAACGATGCTATATATAAACACCGCAAAGCAACTTTAAAAGAATTCAAACATGCAGCGATATTTTTATCCTTTGTTTTTCCAAAGATGCTACTGGACAAGACCTAGTTCTGAATAAATCACTAATTGTGTGACATCAACTAGCCATAGATTAACACTTTAAATTAATGGGATTGTCAAATAATAATACTAGGACAGGATGTTTCAGGCAGGAGAAAGGACAAAATGAGTAGACTAAGGAGGAAAGAAACTAGGTGATAACGAAGCACAAAACTAAGAGATGGGCAGGTATCTGGAGTGTAACTGACACACAGTTGTTATAGGGTCAGGTTAATCAGATACTCTATCCTGAATTTCATTCTTTCCCTTGCCTAACATACAATCCAGGCTATATTTAGCTAGTATATACCAATGCAAATATGTTAGTTGTTACAGTACTGAATTACTTTCTCTGTAATTGGTAACTAGCTATAGCTCCAACCCCCTGAATGTCCTCTCCACTACCCAGGACACACATCAAGTCTCTCCATCATACAAAAAAATAGAGTTACCTCCAGTTGTTGGCACACAAAAAAGGGCCCTCTCAGGATGCTGTTCTATCCATAAGTGGCATCCTTTCTGTTTGGTGGATCCCTGCATTAGTCAGCCCCCCCCAAATTCTCCCATCTCTACACTACTACCAGCATATATTCAGTTGGGAGAGCTGGGATTCAAACACAGGCAACCCAACAAAAACACCACTTTGGACACTGCTTCTGCTATAGCGCCTAATTAACTAAGAAGGTATTGCAAATTTCCTATCACAAGGGCTGAAAAAAATTGAAACTAATTGCTAAGAGAAGATTCAGCACCATAAATAATATTGTTGATATTAAGTCTCTATGTATTGCAACTCCATGTTACTTAATGATGATCAATTTCATGGGTAAATCACTTCATGAAATTTTTTTGTCAAACTGTTACTCAAACAGGAATTAAAACAACCAAAGCTAGCAAAACAAAAGATCGTATCAATAATTCCAAAACTCAACATAAAATCTGGAAGTTACCAGAATGACTTGGTAAAACAATTGTGCTATAATCCTAAATATATCATTAATTTGAAGACTAAAAGTAAATACATATTTCATTTATATGCTGAGTTGACAGGTATTGGTTTTGTATATTGTTGTCACACCTAATATGAAACTTGTAAGGTAGCTTAAGGATCTACGGTTTCTTCTTCCAAAGATCTAAAAAGGCTCCTCCATTTCAGGAATGACCTGTACCATAATATCTGAAGCTATGTTTTGCCCTACACATCTTGTGACTATTTCAATAAGACTGGTACCTAAGCAACAGACATTGATCTTAAGAAGACATTTAACTATTCTACTCTCCCTAAGAAATCTACTAAAAAAATTTTCCAAGCTAGTAACTTCTTAAAGAAAAGCTTTTTCTTGTTTTGGCACCAAGAAAACGGGAAAAAACAGTAGGAAAAAATATATCTGCAAAATAAAAGCAAATAATAATACTACTTGGTTTATAGCACTTGAACCACTGGAAGGATGGATCACTAAGGAAGGACTTGCCAGATACTTCAATAAATATGTGCAAAATAAAGTATGAGAATTTACTCTTCTGATTTGAGCCCCTTGATCTAAACCCTTTAGAAAACAAAATAAAAATTGAGCTATGAAATTGGGCAAAGAGGAATTAAAAAAAATTCTTTCCTTGGAATTACCCAATCAGCAGCATGATAATCTTGCTTACTAAACTTCAAACATAATTCATAAAAGCAGTTAAAAAAAAGCATGAAACTTAAAAACAACCAAATGCTGCAGGAGAACTTAAAAGTAATTTTAAAGGTCTATTGATATCTGCCTATCACTAAAAATGAGAATTATGAAGACATTTTACCTTCTATGGCTTTTATAATGAGGTCTTGTGTATGCTATCTTAAATGAAGTTATGGAATACAATCTGAAATACCTAAAACAAGATTTTTTTAAATCATATTGCAAAGTCTCAAGTAGCAAGGCAGCCACTATACCTTTATGATTTTGCTTACAATACAAACAATATTACACTATTATAGTCATATAGAAAAGAGACAACTGATGAAAATTCATTTCGATTATAATTCACAGTGCTGTTCAGGCTCCAGTCTTGACAAGGCTAAAAGAGAGTCTCACAGAAATAGCACAGGATTGCTCTGTACTACACACAGAAAAAAAAACCCAAAACACATTATCTGCCCTGGAACTACTTATCTTTTATAAGTTCTAACAAAAGGAAAAGAATTGAATGGTGAGAAAGGAATTAGATTATATTCAAGTTGGTTCTTCCTCACATTTCCAAGTTAAAACAGAGATTACTCTGTTCACATTTCCAAGTAATCACAGAGATTACTCTTTTAACACTGCCAATTTAATGTTTCAGCAAATGTTAAAGTTTTCCCCCCATTATTTTATAAAACAGAAAAAGTCTCCTCTTAATTACACATTTGGTAGGCTGAAAAAACAAAATCTTGCTAGTACCAATTACCTATTTGGTTCTAAGCGTTATGCCCAAATGCAATTGGGAGCAGAGGGGGCGCGGGCGCTGTCTTTTCACTCTGAGAGTGACACAACAGGAACTTTGAGTACACACTGAGGCACACTTCAAACTTCTAGATAGCACTATCTTAGCTTTGGAACATTAACACGTGGTACATTTAACACGTGGTACATTTACACATGGACTACTATGCAGCAGAAAGAAAGAAGAAACTCCTACTCTTCACGGCAGCATGGATGGAACTGGAGAACATTATGCTAAGTGAAATAAATCAGGCAAATACCATGATTTCACCTATAAGTGGAACCTAATCAACAAAACAAACAAATGAGCAAAACAGAACCAGAGATTTGGAAATAATGAACAACTGACAGGGACCTGAAGGCAGGAGGAAGGGGCATAATGGGGGAAGGAGGGGGAAGGGGCAAGTCACAAAACATGAACAGAGGACTGACTCTGGGGCATGGACAATGCAGGGGGATTGACTGTGGGAGTAGGGAGGTGACAGGGCGGGGGAAAGCAATGGGAAACAATTTTTAACATCATTTACATCCCCAAAAGATAAAATATTTACGGATAAAAATTTAACCAATTTGTTAGCTTTTTATCCCTGGACACTGAAAACTGTAAAATACCATGAACAAATTATAGGAAATCTTTTTTAAAACAAAGTACTGGTAGATTCAGTATGAAGATGTCAATTGTTCCTACACTGACTTATAGGTTAAACACAGTCCCAATTAAAATCCAACCAAATGTTTTTAGAAGTTGACAACTGGATTCTACAATTTCTATGGAAATGTAAAGAACTTACACTAATTTATTTCAACTTATTATAAAGCAATAGTATCCACAAAAGTGTGGTACTGACATAAAGATAGGCTAATGGAACAGAATAAAGATCCACAAACAACCCTACACAGTGGATTTTCTTATTTTTTAATTAAACTCTTTATTTTGATGTGATTATAGGTTTATGTGCAGTTGTTAAAAGATGATGCAGTGAGTTCTCGTCTGAACTTCACCCAGGTTCCCCAATGGTGATATCACAATCAGGGTATGACGTGAATACAGTGAAGATATAAAACACGTCCATCACACGAATTCCCCTCATTGCCCCTTTTTTCCAACACCTTTACAGAAGTATACTTAACACATAACATTATGTAAATTTAGGGTATACATGATTTGATACAGTTACAGAATAAAAAATGATTACCAAATAGCATTAGCTAATACCTCCATCATGTAACATAATTACCATCTATATTTTTGTGATAAGAACAATTAAGATCTATTGTCTTAGCAAATTTAAAGTATATATTACAGTGTTATTAACTACAATCACCTTTCTGTACATTACATCCCCAGAACTTATTCACCTTATAAGTGAATGCTCGTACCCTTTGGCTAAAACCTCCATAT